TATTTTTTATAAATAAACACTACTTTTTAAGTAAATTTTTTTGAATAAATATTTTAATTATTTGATTAGAGTTACAATTCATGTTTTAAAACATTAATTAATTAACCTTTAAATTTATTAATCCAAGTAATTTTAAAGATTAAAACTACTTCCATATTTATTAATTTACTACTAATGGTGCATTAAATTAATATTTTTAATAATTTGATTAAATATTACGATAATATTATTTTAATAATCCGTGTATTTTATTTTAATATTTTTAGTGGTTGGACCAAAAAAAGTTTTAAAGGTTAAAATAAATTTCTAAAATTTTAATTTAATAATTTTAATTTGTTTAAACAACACACGGTGGGCTTCGATCAAAAGTGCTTGCACCGATTGGATCTTTTTAAAAATCACTTCTACGATTCCTTACAGGTATTTTAAGATCCGAAGGAAAATATTCGGAGGGATTCCCGAGAAAACTTTTCTTTTGTATGTTATATGGCATTTTTCGATCTAAAATAAAAAATTTAGGTCCGGAACATATTTATTAGCAGTAAATTTATTTTTAATTTGCTATTTATTTAAAATGTACATAAAAATTCAAAATAAATTTGATTTTATTTGTCGGAATCATGAGAACAAGCAATTTTTTTGAAGTCATAAACTACGACATTTTGATCTTACTTATTATATTTCCTAGATCCGTTTTACATTGTTTACTATAAAAGTATATAATAATAAATGTTTTATTTAAAGTATTACAATAATGAATTTAGAAAAATAAAAAACTACTTTAATAATCAATTTTTTAACATTAATTAATAACCATTAAAATGAATGCAAACCATTCTATTCGCAAAGAGCACGCAGGAGTTGTTTTGGGAATTCTGGGTGATTTTTTGTTACTTTATACTTCTCCCATGTATGTTTAAAATTAGCGTGGACAGACTCCATAGCCTGTTCGCTATAAAAATCAAGTCCGGCTCGCATTTTGTCGCAAAAATCGGATACATGAAAAAATACTGCGTGAACTTTGGGTGTTATAGGTATTTCCAACATAATGTAGCTCTCTTTAAATGCATCAACATTTTTTTTGAAATCAGGATCTAGATTTTAACCAAAGCAGGTATGAACAACATCTCTAAATTTTTCTAAATCAGTTACATATTTTAAACATCCAATATTATGACTTCTAGAACGTAGTAAATCGTGTTTTTCCAACAGTGTTTTACATGAATTGCCGTTAAAATTTGAACTACCATGGCGTACATCGCGAGTCACACAGCATGTTTTTGCCCACTGAAGAGCATCTTGCTCAAATTCTGCAAGCAAATGTTTATATAAGGTGTTTACCACACCTATCATTAAATGCAACTCTGGCGGAGGAATTATTTCTAGAAATTGTTTATCTTGTGGGGTAGAAAAAAGAGGACGATGCAGTTCTTATAAAATTTTGCATTTGCTTTCTTAGCTCCTGCTAAAGACCATTGATTGTAATTTTCCAATGTATTACTTATAGTTCTGTACGTATCGCAGACCTTTAAAATATTTTTGGATGCATAGCACCAGGTACATGGGTACTTACTGCTGTGTGACATTATACCAACCAAAATGTTAGCCAATCTGTTGCGATTGTTCCCTTAAAGTTATTAATATTTATTTCAGACCATAGCTGGGACACATTTTCATAATTTTCCTGAGAACTAGGTGCGAGAGCAAGTATTATTAATTTATTAACACCCGAATCCTTAAAGCGTTTAGCGCAAATACTATCTTCAAATTTCTGCTTGCATTTACGTGAATCTTCATTTTCTACTGTAGACTGAATGGATAAACAAACTTTTAAAAACCCGCCTCCACCATCAATTCCGAACTTCAAGTAATATTGAGACAAAGAACGTTTCTCTTTAATAAACTTTATTAAACCATCAAGATCTGTGCAGTAAGCGACTGTCTCAGGAGCAGATGAAACTTTGTCAGCTATAACGTGTGTAAAATTAAACGGCTTTGTGCAAAAATATTTGTCTACACAGTGGCTTTTAATTGAGAGCTTACTTTTTAAATTTGGTTCCACAATTTTTGCATTTTTTGTGGCTACGCGTACAGCTGCAGCAATTGCTATTGTCTTTTTTTGACTTAAATTTAAACTGGTCTGTAGTTTTAGGAAATCATCCGCAGAAAGGAACTGCTTTTTAACATTATCGTTAATTCTTTGATTAAGTGTTACCTGTAAATGTTTACCGCGTGGTTGAACTAACGATATAGAAGGTGTAGATTTAATTTCTTTTTCATTGAACTTTCGTTTTAGTAAAGATGAGACAACTTGCTCTGCATTTTTCTAACCTACGCTTAGGACATATTCCGTCAAGTTCTCCAAGCGCCTAGTCAAGCTACATTTATGAGATAGTCCTTTTCCAATAATTGAGCAGCAATATCTGCAACGACTTTCGATACAACGTATTTTCTCTTTTTCTAAAATAATGTCAAAAGATTAAAAGTTTTAAAGGAATTATTAGAAATGGAGTATTTAAAAGTAGTCATAAAACATTTTAATAAAACAAAAATAATAAAATTTGTATTTAAACAAATAAAGACCATTATTGCAATAAAATTAAGCTAAATTATTTAAATGTTTTAATAAATTCGATACAATATCCTAACTGCAAGTTGTACATTCGTCGTATCGGCCAGTATACCGATTCGTTTAGGCAAAATATTACCCTTTGTGAAATTTCCAGATGCTGGTTTTCGAGCAAGATCACATACAGGGTTAGTTTTAAGTTGACGCGTTCCTTTTAACAGCGTGTAGAAATCAGATAAACAAATAAATATTTTAAGTAACTTTTTTATCAAAACTCAAAAATAAGAGAGTTATAGGTCTTCCAAGTTTAATTAAATTTTGAGCCGGTCCTGGCTATTGTTAACAAAAAACATAACCATAAAAATAAAAATAACAAAATAAACAATGCAAAATGTCATCCTTTTTCTATGACAACAAACATAACCATTTAAATCAAAATGACATTTAGCAATAAAAAATGTCAGTTTTTTTGTGCCTCAATTATTGTTAAAAATGGTTCATAATTATAGCAATAATGAATTAGTGGAAATGTTACTAATTTATGGAGTGTCTTCAAAATGCAAATGCAGTAAATAATGACATTTTTTATTGCAAAATGTCAATTTGTCAAATTGAATTTGATTTAAATGGTTATGTTTGTTGTCAAATATGACATTTTGCATTCGTTATTCAAAGTGACTAGGTGCACGTTAGAGTGCCCGCAATTTATTTTTTACGGGCACGCTAGTGACGTCATAATAATAATCCGGTTTTGTTCCCCGAACATATAATATTTGTTGTCAAGCTAGATAGCTTAGATGGTAGGGCGTTTGCTTTGCATGCGAGAAGTCCCGGGTTCGATACTCAGAAGTTGTCGAATTTTTTTTTTACTTTTTGAAATCATAAATTTATTGTTCCTTTGTTAAAAAGTGTTTTATTTTTATCGTAAGATAAATTTGCCCATTTTAGTTGGGTTTTTTGCTCAATGGGGCGGAGGGGGGGCCAATGGGGCGGGGTCGGTTGGGTTGTGTTGTTGAGTTTGGGTTGGTTTGGTTTTATTACGTAACTAACGTGCCCTTAACATGTATACAGTTTTTCTGGGGAAGGATTACAAATGAAATTGATGGCTTCCATGTTTCAAAATATGTTCCCTACCATTAATTTAACTTCAGTTGATTTAAATACTGTTCGAAGATGTGTTCTCAATGGGGCGGGGTCGGTTGTGTTGTGTTGTTGAGTTTGGGTTGGTTTGGTTTTATTACGTAACTAACGTGCCCTTAACATGTATACAGGTACAATTTATTATTATATTATTGTTGTGCCGCCAATTTTAAATTAAGCGGCACGGCAGTGATGACGTTTTTTATCTATTACGTCACTAGCGTGCCCGTAAAAAATAAATTGCGGGCACTCTAACGTGCACCTAGTCACGGCGTTGTTTATTTTGATATTTTTATGGTTATGTTTTTCGTTAACAATAGCCAGGACCGGCTTAAAATTTAATTAAACTTTGATGGGCTATAACTTTTTTATTTTTGAGTTTTGATAAAAAAGTTACTTAAAAAATTTATTTGTCTAGCTGATTTCTACACACTGTTAAAAGGAACGCGTCAACTTAAAACTCACCCTGTATATAACAATCACATACAGAGTTGCTATTTGATCTAGTATACCTCCTAATACGCTTCAGCTAAGAAAATTTTGGCAGTCTTATAGTCTTTTCATTAATACAGTACAGATCTCATACTAACTACTACACAATACCACAGGCAGTTGGTCATCTTCGTCTTTATATTTAAAATGTTTCTTAACAAGTAATTTTAGTCCTTCCTTTATGAAAAACATTGTTTTAGTTTTTCTAAAACAAAACAAGCAAACCTGCAAGCGATTTTCTTCATGCGTTCTTGCTTTCAGCATTTTTAATTTATAAATTTAATGTTTGACAGCAATTTATTTATGTGTCCAAGGTAGTGTGGCAATTATTTATTCGATAAATAAATAGCGATTTATTAAGAGGCGTTTAATAAAAATGTTTATAAGATAATATATTATACCCTATGAGATATACAAAAATCGAGTTTTCTCGCAAAACCCTCTACCAAATATTTTCATTCGGGTAAGGCATTGTAAAAGTGATTTTAAAAAAGATCCAATAGGTGCAAGCCTTTTTGATTGAAAGTTAATCGAATCCCACCGTGAACATTTATATTTAAACATTCATGAATGGTTCTTTTAACTCCAAGTAAACATTGTATGTATTGAATGTGCAAAACGTACCACATTTGTTTAAATGTAAGCAACCTTACACCCCTAAACCACAAGGGTTGTGGTTTAGGCTTACACCCACTAGTTATCCTTAAAATTTTATTAGGCCCTGATTTATCACACAATTTACCACATTTGTTTAAATGTAAGTAATAAATAAACTTTATAAAATTTTACATATAATTACACTTTGATCTCCTTCAGATGCATCATCCAACATTGGAATTTGTTTTTTTGGTATTACAAGAAAATGCACTGGGGCTTGGGGGTTGACATCATTAAAAGCCATGCATTTTTCATTTTCGAATATTATATCAGCTGGTATTTCTTTCGATATAATCTTATCAAAAATCGTTGATTTACTTTTATATGCGCTTTGTGCTTTGTCAACTTCTGAACTCATCTGCAATAAAGCTTAAAATATTCAAGTGTTATTATTTGATTTAATTACATACTGCGACAAACGTATTTGGCTTGAAATTTATGAACCTGGTGACATAAAACAACACTTTTGAATGATTAGTTAGCTTTCTAAATAACATAATGACATTTTATTTTAAAAAACTAACCTTAAAATCAGACAATTCACTGTTTTTGACATCTTAGTTACCAGTGGTGCCAACTATTAATCTTCAAAATATTTTGTTCACACGTGCTTGTCAATTTATTAACCTTACTTTTTTAAGTACATTGACGGTGACAAACTTTCTGTTGTAATTTTTTAAAAAATGGCTAAAAAAAGGAAGGGACGTAGTGTTAGGAAAAATGCAAATGCTAATACTGAGGCTGAGGAAATTGTTCAAGCCCCGCATTCGTTTGTAATACATAGAGGACTTCCAGGGGGGCACACTACAGAGCTAACCAAGGACTTTAGAAAAGTTATGGAGCCTTATACAGCCTCTTCCTTAAAGGTAACATTTACCACAGATAATTTCCTATGCAGCATTTTAAAGTCTTGATTGTCAGCTGTATGCATAGATATCCACAGTTAAGCTGGGTTCTTTGAGGAAATTAATACTCTGTACAATTTTACATATTGTTTTTATTCATTAAACAAACAAAAGATATAAAAAAACAAGTGACAAGTAGTTTTAATGTTGTTTCTTAAAAGAAGGCAGCTTTTCAAAATTTAGTGCTTGTATCACAAGGTATTATGACTAATTAAACATAATTTTAGGAGCGCAAGAAAAACACAATAAAAGACTTTGTTTCCATAGCAGGACCTTTGCATGTCTCTCATTTATCCATTTTTTCAAGGACAGAAACAGGCATGTTTCTAAAGATAGCTAGGCTACCCAGAGGACCCACATTATCATTTAAAGTACACAATTTCTCTTTGGCCAGGGATGTTGTTTCCTCATTAAAAAAACAAATTGTAGTTGAAGAAGCTTTTAAACATTCTCCTTTAATTGTACTCAACAGTTTTTCTGGGGAAGGATTACAAATGAAATTGATGGCTTCCATGTTTCAAAATATGTTCCCTACCATTAATTTAACTTCAGTTGATTTAAATACTGTTCGAAGATGTGTTCTCATAAATTATAATCCAGCTACAAAACTGGTAGATTTTAGACATTATGTTATTAAGTTGGTCCCTGTTGGGGTATCAAAAGGAGTGAAAAAAGTTGTACAAGGAAAAGTGCCTAACTTAGCCAGATGTAGTGATATTTCCGAATTTTTAACAAAGTAAGTTTTACCTGCTATTAGTAATTTTTTGTATAAATTATTTGCTTCTTTTTAGAGCTGGTTTGTTATCTGAAAGTGAGGCAGAAGAAGACCCGAGCAATCATGTTACATTATCACAAAAAATAATGACCAGGGGAAATATGGAATCAGGAAAATCTGCCATTCGTTTAAGTGAATTGGGACCAAGGCTAACATTACAGTTAATAAAAATTGAGGATGGTTTATTGGATGGTGAAGTACTTTATCATGATCTTATTCAGAAGACTGAAGAAGAAAAGGTTGAAATAGAAAAGACACGAGAAAAGAAAAAGTAAGTTAATTTATGGAGTTTATAAAAAATATTAATTTTATCTACCTTCTTATAGGAAACTAAAAGAAAAGAGAAAGAAAATTCAGGAGCAAAACCTTAAAGCCAAAGATCAAGTTAAGCAAGATTTAAAAGAAAAATCTTTAAAAGGAATGCAAAAGGGAAAGTCTGAAACTGATATTTTAATAAGGAAATCTTTAAAAGAAGCAAATGAACAGATGCCTATGCATGAAGATGATGACAGGGAATATTACAGAGAAGAAGTGGGTGAAGAACCAGACCAAGGTAAAGTATTTTTTAGGGGTGTGCGAATAATTCGAACTTACGAATTATTCGTTCCGAATCGAATATTAATATTCGATTCGGAACTCGAATCGAATAATTCGAAAATTCGAATTATTCGAAAGTTCCCGAATAATTCGAAAAATTTCGAATAATTCAAAATTTTTTCGGAATTATTCGTAAACTATTATATTATTAGCGAATTTTCGAGTATTTTGAATTTAGGGTTTCTTAGTGTGTGTCGTACCTAGGCTGGTTATGGCCTTAAGTACTTCACCAAGGTTCCTCTCCGGTTGACTCTTCAGATATAGAGGAATACCTACCTCAGGTTGCTTTTATTCAGTGGAGAAAGTAGGGTTTATAAGAATCAGTTAGGGTTGGTGGTTTAATTTAAAATGCAAAAAGTAACTTAAACTGGTTTATTTACCAAGGTAAAAGTATGTACAAAATTATATTAGAATTATATACAGTATTTACAGTATTTACAAAAGTATCGTAGACTTTGCACACAAAGGTTCTTGCATAGCCTTTAGTCAGGACAGGCAAAGGTTCCAGGGCTTTTCACAGGCAACTGGCAGGCACGGGCGTAGTTTTCAGTCCTACAGAGAGACAGGGCAGATTTGCAATTGGACTCTAGTGGAAAAATACATGTTGTTAGGTTATGTTATATGCATACAGGATTTACAGTTTCATTAACTCTGCTATTAAAGCTTAATATTATACGGCTTAAAGCCCTTTGATATTAAAAACAGGTTAACTTACTGTTAATATTCCACTGAGAATTCTCTGTGATTAAGTGGTTGGTTTTGGGCTCACAATTGATAACACCATTTGGAACTGAGCCACCAGACGACTAATAGACATATCCCATAAAACAGACTTTTGGATAGCGCGTGCCTGAAGAAGAGTGGTATCTCTTTCTCTTTTATGTAATTAAAAAAAGACGACGTGCCTTTTCACGCACGCGCTATCCAAAAGTCCGTTTTATGGGATAGGTCTATTGTCCATTGAAAAATGCAGCGGTTTTATAGACGAAATTCTGATGACAGACTTGATGAAAAACAATTGGGGCCGCGTGCAATAAATCCTTCACATGGGCCGTGTGCAACAATTGTTGACAACATATGCGGTTGACAGCTGTTCAAGCGCCATCTGTTAGAGTTTCGTCTAACTGCAGGTTTCTGGTAGTCCAACTCTTTCCTTGACGTCGGGTAGTTAGGAAATCGTCTCATAGATGTCGTAATGTGTATCGTTAGTAATGATTCATTACAAGTGATTGAAGTTTACCGGTAATTTTCATTTGATTTTTCTCAGTGGTTATTCACCGGTAATTTTGGAAATATTTCAGAAAACAAATAATTATACCTATGGATTATATATTTTTAGTATTTTTTACATACTTATATATATTTATTATATTATTGTTTGTTAATAAAGGAAACAAATAATATTTATTCAAAAATTTCAAAAATATATCGTTTTGGTTTACTAAGCAATAAAGTAAATACCTACTTGGTATAAATTTAAATATCTTCTTCCTCCTCAGAATCTATATTTTTAAGTTGGTACTTTCCTTGATTGGCCAAACACGTCTAAATCGCAATCGGGGAGTTACCTACTCCTACTAATCCCACTATCACTGCCAGAAAACAATGCAGGTGAAGAAAATGAATAAGAGCGTTATAGATTCAGGGCTAGATGGCGAAATCATTTTTGAAAATTACCGGTAAAGAAATTTGCCGGGTTAAATTACCAAACTTACCTTACCAAAATTACCGTTACCGCGGTAACGTTACCGCACTTTAATCACTAGGGTTTCTTATGTTCAATATTCAAATATGAATTTAACAGTCAATATACATTTTATTTAAACCATGAAATATAGTTACACAAATAGAACAATTAGTATAGTTTTTTTTTAAAGAGAATGAAATAACAATATTGTAGCAAATACAGTATTACAAAAAATACATTTGAAAATTTGCTACAAATTTTTCTTCAAAAATTCATGTAATGTAATGTAATGTTACTCATGAGTAACCTTTTTCTTATGGATTAAAAAAAAAATTTAATAATTAATAAGACCAAACAAAATATCTCTTGCCAATATTACCATCTAGATTATTTATGTTACTGACAGAGATGAACATATATTGAAAATGAGCAATTGTTTTCTCTGGGTAATTGATTTTTAAACGAAAAGTATATTATTTTAAGTAGAATATTTCGATACACGATTTAAAGGAATTTAAATGGAAGCAATTATAAATTAATTCGCAAATTGTTTGAAAATCTTCGAATTATTCAAAAATTTTCGAATTATTCGAAATTTTTCGAATTATTCGAAATTTTTCGAATTATTCAATTTTTTTCAAATTATTCGTAGAATTTCGAATAATTCGAAAAGTCAAATTATTCGATACGAATTTCGAATCGAATATCAATATTCGATTCGATTCGAACGATATTCGCACACCCCTAGTATTTTTTATATTAACAATTATAGACAAAATTTATTAATATTCTTGTAGAACTTTCCAAATTAACTAATTAGTTAATTTAAAAAGTTATACAACCTTCAATTATTGTTATTGTGTGTATTTTCATAATAATAATAAAAATAACATATTTGCATCTTTTTGCAGATTTGTTTACATCAAGACACACTGGTGGAACAAAACGACCTGGCAGTTTCCAAAGTCATAATAACAAAAGACCAAGAATGGATAATGACAATAACGATTCTTCCTCATTTAAAAAAAGTAGATTTGACAATAAATTTGAAGGAAAAGACAGATTTAAAAAGGGCGGAGGAAAACCATTTAATAAAGACATTGACAATAAATTTGAAGGAAACAACAGATTTAAAAAAGGTGGAGGAAAACCTTTTGGAAAAGGAAATGACAGGTTTAAGAAAGGAGATGGCAAATTTGGGGATAAAGGAAGGGGTGGCGAGAAGAAACAATTTGGAAACAACAAATTTAAGAAAGGAGGCAGTAAGTTTGGAGGAAAGGGCAAAGGAAGAGACAAAACAAACTCGCAAAATAGGGATTTCAGACCCATTGGTGGTAAAAGCAAATTTAAAGGAAAAAGGAAATAAAGTACTATTTCATAAAGTTTTAATAAACCTTTTTATTTAAAATTTATTTTTTGTCCTTATTGGTAAAATAATTCGTTTTATTTTCCTCCCGTATTTTTGCCTCCCTCATTCTTCTTTCTTTCCTTGTCTCTTCTCTGTTCACGTAATATTTCTCCCTGAAATCTGTTATATTGCTGTCAATTTTATTAAGTTCATCCTCAGTGGGTTCCCTGATTTTTTCAAAAGTTAATAGTCTCCTTGAAGTCACCATTGTTAATGTTTGTTCAGAATTACTTATGAGTTTTAAGGCTGGATGTGAAGGCAAACCATCTTCTAAATAATCATCCCTTACAAGTAAATTAATTAAATTATAGAATAAATGTTATAAGATAATTTTATTTTACCTGTAAACTGGAAACCAGCAAACCAACCGTCCCCCTATTTTTAAATACTTTGACGAAAATATTAACAAATCACTATAGATTTGCGATATTGTGTACTCTATTTTGGCTGGAATGTGCGTCGATAAATGCTCATCTTTTACTTTACAATCCTCTTTTTCTGTCCCTACCCTTTCAGTTGCTTCTCTTATACCATAAGGAGCTAAAATGATCTATTTTAAATAGGTAAAAAAATATAAATTTATTTTAGCCAACTTTAAAAATATGTAAAAAATAAAACTGTAAACCAAATTCATCTGGTAATTTCCATTATACTGTTCATTCCACCAATTTTTTTGGGGTGTCACTAACGCGGATTATTTTTAAATTTTGTGGAGTTATTCTCTATAGAGAATATATATATTATAAAAATGACTCACTAAAGATTTATATATTAGGGTGGTCGTTAAAAATTAAATTCTTTCCCACGTCCAAAAAAATCCTTGCTTTCAATGAAAAACTGAGGGGAAAAAATTGTTTTGGTTTTCATAAATAAGAAAACGTGCCGACGGCCAATTGAAGTTCATTTTTCCATAAAATTGTAGTTTTTTTGAAAAAATTTATGAAAACCTTTTTTGTAGAGAATTTAATTTCCTACAAAATTGTCCTTACAAATTTTTCTCAAAACCAAATTCTGTAAGAGATATTTAAAAAAAACTACAATTTTATCGAAAAATAAACTTCAATTGGCCGTCGGCATGTGTTCTTATTTATAAAAACCAAAAGAAAGTTTTTTCCCCTCAGTTTTTTGTCGAAAAAAGGATTTTTTTGGGCGTCGGAAACGACCACCCTATATATAAATGTATTTTTCCTTATTTTTTAAAATTAAAATAATGTGTTAGAAAAGTACCTACTTTTTTGTAAAAAATTCTTAGCTTTTCAATGAAAATATTTATTTTTTATTATAAAGACTCTCAAAAATTAAATTAAAGTGAAAAATGCGGTTTTCTGGCCTTGCGGCAATTTTTATTTCAAATTTGATATTTTTTTCGAAAAGCTGAGAATATTTTACATAAAAATTGTAATTTTTACGATAAGGTTATTTTTTGTGTAAATTCAATTAAATAATAAAGTAATATTTATTGTAACTTTTTTCTTCAAATAATTGAGGATATGCATCTGTCAAATTAACGCAAATTTTGTCTTATTTTCTATAAATAATATAATATACGTATTTTTGTACAAACTTCTTAGTTTAGGTCACAAAATTAGTACTTTATAGACCAGGCCAAGCATACATTTCAGATTGTGTGCGAGGGAAATAATAAGCTTTCACCGCTATGTTTTTTATACTATTTTTTTAAGCATTTAATTAAATAATTTCTTAAAGCCCGTATTACAGTCTGCAATTTTACTTCCAGCAATCTTTCTTGCAGAAATTTTTCTTGCAGCAGTTTTTCTTGCATGCAAGTTTTATTGCTGACTAATACACTTTGCAGTTCCAAAACTAACTTGCATGATACCCACCCAAAAAAACATATAAAATATTATAAAGTACAATTAAAATTAAACTTACACGACATTATAATATATATTATGTAATATAATTTAGAATACAAAGAAACAACATACAAATGACTTCAAAAAACAAACCAGCGCGCTGCAGCTTCTCTAGAGCCCGTATTACAGTCTGCAATTACTTGCAGCAACTTTCTTGCATGCAAGTTTTATTGCTGACTGTAAAACACTTTGCAATTCCAACCGAACTGGCAATACAAATCGAGCAGGACCGATAACGGCAATAAACGTCGCTATGCGCATGCCTTCCTGCAAGAAAGTTGCATGCAAGTAATTGCAGACTGTAATACGGGCTTTAATTTAATTTAAGTGTACAGTCCGTTCAGGCTAAGTTGAGCGCTTTGGTAGGGGATCATGTGGCCGTTGATTAAATTAAATATCGAATGGTCGCGAGATTTCGGTGACAAGAAGATGATTTATCAGTGCCGCGGCTTGCCGTTTGTTCATACAGAGGGGCTACCAAAATACATGTATTTAATTGTGCCTGAACATAGAGATAATGGACGGCTTGACATTCCTTAGACCGCTCAACTTAGCCTGAACGGACAGTAGATTGGTATGAAAAAAATTACCAATTTTTTTCCCAGACTTTCATGCAACTGGCAATAAAAATCAAGCGATATTTTTTCTCTCTCTCTCTCTATATATATTTTTTATTCACTACATCCGGAGTACCATAAGCCTCTCCCTCAGTAATGGATTTGGTCTGAGCCGATGTGGCTCTTTTAACCAGTCACCAGTAGATAGACGTGGAATTTCAAATCTTAAAACATCCACTAAATCGATTGCACAAATGACAAAATACCTCGCTGAAAGGTCAATGCTTGCGATATTGTCGAGAAATACTGGTATATTTCTATACCGGGAACCCCATTTTACCCTTCCTGGGTCAAAGACTTTGACTCAAAGTCACCTATTTTCAAACTTTCATGGAGCGATGTACAGCACTTGAAGGAACGACTTGCACGAAACATCGCACGTAGAATTTCAGAATGTAATTCGGGGTCACATCATGTTTAGGTTAGGTATTATATGTATGTATGTATGTATGTATATATATATATATATATATATATAAAGGGTGAATCGGAAGGATCGCACCGATTATTTTTATGAAATAAAAGTGTTTTAATAAAGTTTTTTTGGGACTTTCATTAAATTATTATTTTTAAATGGGAGGGAAAATTAAAGGGATTTTTTTTTTATTGGTAGGGGAAAAAGGGAATTTTTATTGGGTTGGTAGGTACTATCTATACAAAATGTTGGCAACACTGCACTCGGCAAACAGTCGGCCTTCGCGCAACATAGGCGGTTGACCGGCGGTTCGGCTTGCCCCAGCCGGCCCGCGTTATGTTACCCCTGTACCGTTTAGCCATGTTCTAACCGAAGTCGGCCAGAATACGGCATGCCGCTGCAAAATCCTTCGGCTTGCCCTAGCCGGCCCGCTTACGGCTTTAATACGGCCTGCCGCGGCAAAAGCGAGCTAACTATATGAAGCGATTGGTTGCAATATTTAGTTGGAAGTGTGCGTCCGTAATGACATAGCTGAACATTAATTGTTTGGAGTCGCCATCTCCATCCTCATCTGCTCAGTAACAAATAATGTCTAGCTAGTCGAGTGTGTTAAAGAAGTATCTTGCCATTCAGAGAATTTCAGAACTGAACTTATACCTCTTCAGGACGTCTGTAGACTTTTTTTGAATGGCCAGGCGGTTGTGGCCGGCACTCGGCCAAGAAAACATAGCCGACACTCGGCCAGGCGGATATGCCCGACAGTTGGCCAGGCGGACATGCCCGTTCTATAGGCCAGAAGAAATACGTGTGTCGGGCCGCACGCGGCCGATTCGGCAAAACGTATTCGGGCCGGCTAGCTTGTGCTTACTGGGTATAGAGAAATATCTGGACATAGTGCGTTTTTATTAAACTTAATATTGAAGAAAGTGTTATAATATGGATAATAGATAATTTCAGTCCTTGATAACATTTAGGGCTGTAGTTTAAGCGTTGGTGTTTTAAATTAAACTTAAAGTCACTGTCCATAAAATGTTTATAAGAAACAGAAGTGGTCTTAAGTTAATATTGTCTATTCTTTTTGTGGCATTTAACCAGTTTCCACAAATAAAAGTTTTTCGGGAATCGATTAAATTTAATGTTTTTATTTAAGGTTTTTTTGGACTGGTTGTCCGAATTGCATCCAAATATGCCACACCGCATTTTAATAAATTCAAATGGCACGACACAAACTAAAACACAAACAAAACAAGTTAACGCAACACAAAAACAATAATAAACAAACAGGTTAACACAACGCAATAACAATAATTTGAACACTAAAAAGTAATTCGAACCTTACCGAACGCAAAAACAACAAGTTGAACAAAAAATAAAGCAAGTTAACATCCAACAGCATCGCAAAAACAAGAATTTTATCAAAAGATAATTAAAAAGCACGTTAAAGATTTAAAAACACTCATCAAGTGACGTATTTAAGCCCCGCCCAACATGCGCACCACCCTATCTTAAGGTGTATGTATCTTGCAAACGAACAACTGACTGTAAACGGTATATATATATTTATATATATATATATATATATAAAATATCGCATTTTCATTTTACATCCAGACAGTAAGCATTCGGTTTTTAAGAGTGGGAGAATAATTTTTAAGAGTGGGAGACGCCGAGAGACAGTTTTAGCCAGAGACAAGGGAGAGAGAGAGACGAACGATTTCCATATAAACATTGGAAACAATAAATATGGCGCCCTCGACGGGGGCTGCGAGAACTAACGCTAAATAAATTTTACTTACTTTGACCTTAAATAATGTAATTTTACAACAATTGACAATCTGATAACTAGGTATAATAACTTATAAATAAATCTTATAAGCAAAACCACAGAACCACTTTTAGTATTTACTGACAGCAGACTGGCAGACGACAGTAGAGATAATTGCGCCTTTTCAGTGCAGGGCTGCCAACAAATGCGCAGAAACCGATTTACATTGAAATCTGTGCGCAGCCCTGTGCATCTAAATTGTTGACCAAAATTCCTATTTAAAGAATCGTCTCTATCTCCCTTACCTCTGGTTTGAGTAATTTATAAATTGAACCCTTAACGCCGTTAGGTTATATTCGGCTGGAATATTAATACGAATTACGTATTATTAAGTTAATTTACTTTTAAAAATGATTCAGATACTTAAAATAAAACGTAATCACTTTTAACAGTAAATTATTAATTAAAAGGTGTAAAATCATTATTTGTTTTGCATTTAACTTAAAGTGTTTTCTTATAAAAAAAACGTTTAAACATAAAAAATTCTCTTTAAAAACTAAAATAAAATAATTCTCTTAAAAACAAATTAAAATAAATTAATTAATTCTCTTAAAACAAAACTAAAAACCAAACTTTTTAAAATAAATGTAAATAAATAAATAAATAATTTAATTAATAAAAATAATAAATTATTATTAGAACACAAGCTTTGAATAATTTATTCAAAGTTTATTTTCATTTACACCCCAAAAATACAAACAATTGTTTTAAACCTTTGGATAACGCTTGTCATTGTTCTAATTAACGGAATAGCACTATCCGGATATTTAACTGAGAATAGGTCTCTTGTTTGACTTAGAGAATGGCCAACTAAAGACCAGCTTATCATGTCAATTTTCTCTTGCAATGTGTAGGACATTATAACTTATAATTAAAAAAAAATAATTCATTTATGTTAAAACGCTTGAAGTACACACTACCAAATGCAAATTATAACTGAATCGTCGCCCACAGAAATCCGCAATCTGGGGAGGGGCATCTGGGAAGGGGCGATCGAGAGAAAGAAAATGTGTGCTTGCACCTCTCTCTCTTGCCCCTACAGTAATATACGAAAGGTAACTCTCTCTTTCTATCTTCACTAACTTTTATCTCCCTCTTAACTTCCGTTCGCCTCGCCCGATCACTTTTTTCGTAACGCTCTCGTCACGCATTCACCAGCTTACTTACTATTCAAGCGTACATAAAGAAGTTTTAAAATAAAGTAATTACTTCAAAAAACATTACCTACTGTTTGTATTTTTATAAAAGAATATGTATTAACTTAAAAAAAAAAAATATTTGGTGGAATGATCCATAAATAATAATTTACTTACGATCTGTAATAATTGCATCAAACTTCATATTACTCTTCCAAAACACAGTGGAAAAATCATTAATTAATACATCCAAATATCTATGTTCCAAATTATATTGCTTCATGTTGGCCCTTATACTTTCATCTGCTTCCCTTTTCTAAAATTAAATCATTACAATGGTATAAAAATTAGGCATTTTTTGAGGGACAAACTTTCTGGGATATTCTGGATGGACGTGTTTTGGCATGCAGCATAAGATAATCAATGTCTCCTCCATAAACATATCCACCAAATTGTGCAGCTGCCACCAATAGGGACCCAGAACCAACAAACGGGTCCAAAACTATATCACCATTTTTTATTTTTGCCTGATTGGCCATTAGCAGTGACAACTGGGGATCCATACTTGTGTTACCAATATATTTTCTTGTTTTTAGTGACAATTTTTTGATTAAATCTCTCAAGCCACAGCTAATCTTAAAAAAAACGAGTGTTTTCATTGATAAATTAATATTTTTAAATAGATTTTTTATTTTTATTCATTATTTTCATTATAAGATACATCTAGAGAAAACTGCATCGATTGTTATTTCATGTGTTGTGGTAGGCTCATTTCGGTTTTTATTCATTTGTAGTTCTAACTCGAAAAAGAACTACATACTGACTCAGATAGCAATCGGCGTGAGAACGCACACGTGCGGTCGATTTCACACGCATATGAGTAGCATAGCCGTGCGCGCCCACGCGATGAGCGCAGTATGAGCGCACGACGTGATCAATGATCTCTTACACTATGCTTATCGGCAGTGATGCCAGATTCTATCAAGAAAACAGTAGAATTCGTTTTTATTCACCTTATAATTACAAAAATGATACAATCAATAATAATGAAATAACGTAAAATTGCAATTTGCATTGTTTACTAGGTGAGGATATATATATATATATATATATATCCTATATATGTATATATTAGGGTGATTCATTTCCGCAAAGTTTTTGTTTTCTTCGGTGCTCAAGCAAAATATTAATCTGCATATAGAAAAAAAAATTCTCAACAATTTTGAGCTCTTAATATCAATTTTAAGTACTTGCAGTTTAAATTTAAAGTTTTCCCATTTAAAATGCATGTAAAAAAAATGTTTTTTTTTCAAATTTCTAATGCTTATCCACCTTTGACAATATTGCAAATCGGTTTAATACACCTTATGGGGAATTCCACGCTCTTTAAAATTGCTTTTGAGGTTTTTTTTGTAACTCGCATTGGTTCACCAGTAGGAGTCGTCAAAGGACAGTTTTTGAAAAAAATCGTTTTTTTTAAATTTTTTTTAACAAACCGCAAAAAGTAGGGAGAAAAGTTTTTGTTTTCTTCGGTGCTCAAGCAAAATATTATTCTGCATATAGAAAAAAAAATTCTCAACAAGTTTGAGCTCTTAATATCAATTTTAAGTACTTGCAGTTTAAATTTAAAGTTTTCCCATTTAAAATGCATGTAAAAAAAATGTTTTTTTTTTCAAATTTCTAATGCTTATCCACCTTTGACAATATTGCAAATCGGTTTAATACACCTTATGGGGAATTCCACGCTCTTTAAAATTGCTTTTGAGGTTTTTTTTGTAACTCGCATTGGTTCACCAGTAGGAGTCGTCAAAGGACAGTTTTTGAAAAAAATCGTTTTTTTTTTTAAATTTTTTTTAATAAACCGCAAAAAGTAGGGAGAAAAGTTTTTGATTTCTTCGGTGCTCAAGCAAAATATTAATCTGCATATAGAAAAAAAAATTCTCAACAAGTTTGAGCTCTTAATATAAATTTTAAGTACTTACTATTTAAAGTTTTACCGTTTAAAATGCATGTAAAAAATATATTTTTTTTTCAAATTTCTAATGCTTACCCACCTTTGACAATATTGCAAATCGGTTTAATACACCTTATGGGGAATTTCACGCTCTTTAAAATTGCTTTTGAGTTTTTTTTTTGTAACTCGCATTGGTTCACCAGTAGGAGTCGTCAAAGGACAGTTTTTGAAAAAAATCGGTTTTTTTTTTAATTTTTTCTAACAAACCGCAATTTCTTACATTTTCAGTTACAAAAATGGCAGTAAATTCATTAAATATTGGTTGGATAACTTTTTTTTTATGAATCAGCCCTTTTTTCTCACTACTTTTGGCAATTTGCTCGAAAAAATAAAAAAAAAAAGATTTTTTTCAAAAACTGTCCTTTGACGACTCCTACTGGTGAACCAATGCGAGTTACAAAAAAAACTCAAAAGCAATTTTAAAGAGCGTGAAATTCCCCATAAGGTGTATTAAACCGATTTGCAATATTGTCAAAGGTGGGTAAGCATTAGAAATTTGAAAAAAAACCATTTTTTTACATGCATTTTAAATGGGAAAACTTTAAATTTAAACTGCAAGTACTTAAAATTGATATTAAGAGCTCTACCTTGGTGAAAATTTTTTTTTCTATAGGTAGATTAATATTTTGCTTGAGCACCGAAAAAAAACAAAAACTTTGCGGAAATGAATCACCCTAGTATATATATTATATATATATATATATATATATATATATATATATATATATATATATATATATATAAATTATAATTTATTATATTGCATTTAAATTCAAATTTTAAAATTCGCGCGTAACTGGTCAACGCGGTAATTCGACAAGAGCATAACATTATTACATTGCTGCAGTCGGGTTGTGTATTGTATTTATTTTTCTATTGTGTTTGTTGTGTCCACGTGATATTATAGTTAGGTATAAATTGATAAAAGTTATTAAGGATTTCAGGTTGCAATTTTACTTTTATGATTTTTGACAGTACCTATTTTTAAAATCACTTGATCAATTAAACAACTTGTGCATTTTTATTTACTTTGTGATTTTTATTTACTTAAAAACTTTGTTATTTTTGAAAGTATTTTTAAAAACAGCTTTTTTTGTTTAAGATTTTTAATTACTTTAGGCTTCTATTATTTTAATTGGATTTTTTGAATGTATTTTCAAAATTACTTGATTAATTAATCAACATATGTGCATTTTTATTTACTTCAAGATTTTTATTTGCTTTACGATTTTGTGATTTTACTTTTGTGATTATTTACTTTAGTATTTTTAAAATCACTTGATTAATTGATCATGTGCTTTTTTATTTACATTAAGATTTTTTTATTTTACGATTGTGATATTTATTTACTTTTTTTAAAGTGATTTTGATTAAAATTTGCGCCCGTGGAAACCTAAAACAGAATATATATATTAGGGTAATTTTTTTTCACAACAATTTTTATTTTTTCGCTCCCACCTCAAAATCTTGTTGAAAATGTTCAAAAAAAAATTCCCTGAAAATTTGAGACCTTAATATTAACTCAAAGTACTCGACCAAAGCGTATAAAGATTTCCCATTTAAAATACACGTAAACTTTGATTATTTTCTTTTAAATATCTATATCTCAGCCGCATTTTATGCTATTGGATTGTTTCAAAAAAGGATTTACTCGTAATCAAAAGTTCTACATAAATGCTTTATGTGCCATAGCTGTAATCTGCACATGTAGGATGGTACGCGTCACTAAATCTTATTTTAGTGAAAAATTATAATATTTTTGAAGATATTTCAAAAGTGACTGGATTCTTTGAAAAAATGTAAAAAACAAACTTGTAGAAATTTTTTTTTGTTTAAAAAAAGGTCCTATCAGTTGAATCGCTAAGATTGATATTTCTTGAGATATAAAGCGTTTACATTAAAAATTTATGAAATTTTTAGGATTTTCGTATCAAACTTTGTATAAATGATGATTTTCAATTGTTTATCAGTAAAATTTCATGTAATTACGTTTTTTTCTACAGTCGGGTGATTAGAGAAAAATAAATAACTAAAACAATCAAGCATAATTATTAATAAAATAACATATTGTATGTAATACACCTCGTTATATCAATTTTTAGGTTGGATATATCTTTTTTCTTTAAAGTTATGTTATTAATAATTATGCTATGTTTGAGTTATTTATTTTTCTCTAATCACCCGACTGTAGAAAAAACGTAATTACATGAAATTTTACTGATAAACAATTGAAAATCATCACATCACAAAGTTTGATACGAAAATCCTAAAAATTTCATAAATTGTCAATGTAAACGCTTTATATCTCAAGAAATATCAATCTTAGCGATTCAACTGATAGGACCTTTTTTTAAAAAAAATAAATTTTCTACAAGTTTGTTCTTTACATTTTTTCAAAGAATCCAGTCACTTTTAAAATATCTTCAAAAATATGATAATTTTTCACTAAAATAAGATTTAGTGACCCGTACCATCCTACATGTGCAGATTACAGCTATGGCACATAAAGCATTTTTGTAGAACTTTTGATTACGAGTAAATCCTTTTTTGAAACAATCCAATAGCATAAAATGCGGCTGAGATATAGATATTTAAAAAAAAATAATCAAAGTTTACGTGTATTTTAAATGGGAAATCTTTATACGCTTTGGTCGAGTACTTTGAGTTAACATTAAAGGCTCAAATTTTCAGGGAATTTTTTTTTGAACATTTTCAACAAGATTTTGAGTTGGGAACGAAAAAATAAAAATTTTCGTGAAAAAAAAATCACCCTAATATATATATACTATCTGTATAGTGAAGTACACACTACCAAATGCAAATTATAACTGAATCGTCGATCTGCCGCACTCGGCTTCACTCGAGTGTATATGTTTCTTGCACTGGCTATGAGAGAAAGCCCCTACTGTAATATACGAAACGTAACTCTCTCTCTTTCTATCTTCACTAACTTATATCTCCCTCTCAACTTCCGTTCGCCTCGCCCGATCACACTCACGCTCTCGTCACGCATTCACCAGCTTTTACTTTAAAATTGAATAATCTTTGCTTGAGGGATTTGGTGAAACAGTTTTATTATTTATTTCTCTTTATACATAGAAAAATGTATTGTCTTGAAAAACTAATACTTAATTAACAACAATTAAGTCATAAACTATTTTCCTGTGTTGCCAACCTCACAAAAACTATCGGAGATTACGACACTAAAACAATTAAACTTAACACTCCTCCTTAATTATGTTACATCGTATTTGTTCAAAAAATTTCCGATTTAATGGTTTCGTCAGAATGTCGGCTAACTGATCTGAACTTCTAATATGTTTTAAATTAACCGTTTTCCTATGTGTTCTTGAATACAACAACTCCACTCGTTGATTGTCCTGTGTAGTTGTCTACTCCATAATCAGAATCTGTATAAGCTACAAGCTCAGTGTCTCCATTAAAATTAATTCCATATTTAATAGTTCCATTTAAATATTGAAAGACATGTTTTACCATTTTCCAATGACTTGTTTACTGCAAAAACGACTTAAATAATTTACAGCAAAACTGATTTCAGGCTGAGAAATTGTTGCTAGGTTTAGCAGACTTCCTATGACTTCACGATAAAGTTCTGACTTG